CCGACAGTTTTGACTTAATTGATTTACATTTTACTTCGAGCGCGTTCTGGAAGTCAAATCCAGGGTCGGCTTGTGGGTTAGCAAGACTTTCTCATTGACTTGTTCGTGAGCTGGTCATCAACCGTTGAGGCAATATAGCACTCAAAAGAAGCTAGGATTCTGAATGAAAGAGATATCATACTGCACTCTGGAAGCGACCGACTGACGTCGGAACCTTGATGCTTCGAGCTTCTTTGATGTCGCAAAGTACTGTGCAGAGAGGACTGCGCCAAAACTAGGCTACCGGAGTGAAGCTCGGGTCCACATTGCTCCAAAGCTACTTTCGCAGAGTCGCCGCAGCGTGGATCTCCAAACCTACACTCTGGCAGCCGTCGCGCGTTCAATCACGTTGGCGGCATTCGCGTCAGGGCCCAATTAATTCAACGTGGGAGTACTGAAATATGTAGAGCCAAATATCAATAAAATATCACCTAGTTTGTGCATGCATCTACACAGATTTCCCACCCGACATCCAGGCCTGCGTGACGCTACATGAAACAGTCCCCCTGTCTACGAACCACTCTAAACAGATGTTTTACTGCTTAGTACTCACACAAGCTCCACAGAGGAATTTACTTCAGGAGCCCTTCAAGGACAGAAAAAGGAGTGATCGATCCCAGAAAATATCGTGTGAGAAATTTACGCAGTTTATTTTTACCACTGTTGACTTCAGATCATCTGTTTTAGCAGCTGTTTTATACGCTTAGGTTTAGGAGAGCGTTTATCATGAAAGTCAGCGGGTATCTGTAGCGTTCTAGTTGAAAAAAACCCCGACACCATTTGCCCCTTGTACCCAGGTTTCAGAAATTTGTCCTGATTTTGGTCGGAAAACTTTTTCATGGGTAGAACTGCGTGGAATTTTCGAGGTTTTCTAACCGTTCAACAGGAATACCACAGGCCTCACGTCGCGTCAAGACACCTCGAAACACCAAATATGCTGAAAACTTGTCTCGGGAGGTAATTCTACCCCTGAACACGGATACCACATCTGTTTGCCGCGCTATTGCGCCAACGCCAGAACTGTCTTTGGCATCAACCTCAGGTGGTAGGACCAGCATTTCCGCTCTAACCGGATGCGATACTAGTGTTCTGGGGTTCGAATAACCCCGAAAATTCGGTCGAATCTCCCGCTTGTGGGGAATTTCGACCAAAATGTGACCCCGATTCCGCAGAATGGCGCAGTGAGGGTGAATAGTGCCTAACTCCCTCACAGTGTGAGATCTAATGAGCAGCGTTCAGGCGGTACTATCTCGTGCGATTGCTATGCTGGACAAAATATCGTTGTCAACTACGTTGCTCAACGATTCCAAAACGGAGTCGGCTCGTCTCGCCAAAGATCTGCGCCAATTCGTCACGAGCCTTCAAGCTGCAGTGAGTTTCCAAAGTTCTGAGAAAAGAATTACGTTACTGGTATTAGGTATCCATCAAGGGAAATATCAGGGCTATATCCTATACCGTGGATGGAATCCGGGCTATATGTAGGCACTGTAATCGTAGAAGTGATGATAAGAACCTGTGCGCAATTCGCTGACATTCATCCAAAACATAATATTGTCATCATTTCGACAATTAAGTGCCTTGGTGGGGGCACCGAATAATGCTTAGCGAAGTTATTTAGAGCCACCTACATCTATAAACCTTCCACTTTCTGTAATCATAGTGGTTTGTATACCATTTTACAGCTTCGCAGCAGTTCGCAGAACTTACTAAATTGTAAGGCGCTACTAATGTGAACTAGCAAAAGCAACTAAGGAAAGGGCAACATACGCCTCCCCGGCAGAATAAGAGCGGTCCATAGATAAGAGCGGTTTGTAAAATAAAATTTTAAAAATGTTTTTTCAAAATCATTTCTTTACCGGTAAATTAAACCGCTCTTATCTATGGAATTTTACTGATCGAATAGGCTTCAAGTTCTATCCAGAGATCAAATTCCGGCATTTCTAGAGAGATTCCGGCAGAAGTTCCGTTAAAATCGCTATTTTTCTATATGAATTGTTTATTAAGTGGGCGGGGTTTAGAGGTTGAGGGGGAGAGCTTCTTCTAAACTTCTTCTCCGATTTTTATTTATCCATCCATCAAGTTAGAGGGGTGACTGCATTCAATTTCAATTTCATTCCAATTCATTTTTCACCGGTAAATTAAACCGCTCTTATCTATGGGATTTTAGGGTAATTATAATTATAATTCACTCATCGCCTATTTTGTCACAACTCCCTAGAAAAGGTATGAATCAAGAGGCACCGGCAACGCGCCGGCTTCATGGAGAAGTATGATTGCCGCTCGAAACATGTGCGGTAAAGGGGCGTGAAAATATCGCGCGCGCGATGCGCGGTGTTATCCCCCTAGCCCACATCTGTGTAAGCGACGTGGAAGGGAGGAATGCAGAAGGGCAGGAGGTCCGAGTCGGGGCGACACGCAGAAAATAGCTGGTACAAGGCGTTGCTGATGTGAGCTACACTCCTATCCCTGAGCCAGGGAAGGAAGTATTTCACCAGAAGCACAGACACCTTCAGGTTAAGTTGAAACATGCTGCCACGCCTACCCGATCTCAGGGATTTCGAAGTACTACATAGTTGGTTCTTGGGTTAAGTCTGTAATACCTTTGGCCAGAATGAATCAGCCAACAAGGCTATGGCAATGCATCGCTCACCAAACAGAACCACCACATCGCCGCGCCGGAATCTCCTGGCCCACATCCGCTTGCTGTGCTAACGTAGAGGAATTCCAAGCCCTTCTTGTTACATAATGATAATGATTTCTAGAAGGGATGTAAATCAGTTACGCTCCATTACTCATGACACCATCTCTGGTAGTAACTTGCAACAATGTGCCATTTTTGCAAGCTCAAAAATGATCAATTTGAGGAGAAGAACCTTACAAAGACTAGCGACGCCAGCAATTCATTTCTGTCAACATCACAGGCCACCAGTACAATAACGACTACTGCTCCGAGTGTGGTAAGTAACACACAAGCTAATACCTTGCATCCACTAATCTTTGACATTTTCAGTCTTCGGTGAAGCAGCCTACTGGGAGTGTGGACGCTTCTTCCACTAAGGCTCAGACACCTCCGGTGGTGAAAGCAACTGCTTCAACTCCAGTTCACACGGCGACCTCCGCATCTCCTTCAGCTCGAGTCGTCACGGCCAAGCCTACATCTGATCGAACTTCTGTTAATACGGCGAAATCTGCACCGCCTACACCTGCAGTTAGCTCAGGAGAAGCCTGCTGCTTCTATCACAACTACACCTCCAGTTAGCACGGCGAAAGCTGCTCCTTCTCCTACCTCTTCGGTCAGCACGGCAAAGAGCAACTCTACGAAACCTCCTTTAACGCCTCTGCCTCAGCAAGTCTCCGCATCACCTCAGCCGCCACCGACTCCTTTTCCTCAATCGAATCCTACGCCAACGGTATAACTTTTAATTATTAAATTAAAAAAGCAATCCAGCGCTTGACAGAGAGACATCGTGACGCACGCCTCTATATCAAGCACTGGATCTCAGTCTCTTTCTCCACTGTATGACGAGGTGTCTATGGGTCGGCCCATAAAAATGGCGTTTTTTTCTCACTCGAAATATCGCGCTAAAGATGAAAGTTTTGTCATAGATTTTATACTGTTTTGCAGAGAATTCCTTGCCCTATACGATAGTCTTCTTAGTTTTCTTAAAGTTTCTCTTTCCACTAATATTTAAGTGCTCAAACTGGAGTGTCAGGTCGACGAAATTGAGCATTTTCGACAGCCT